CTGATGGAGACATTTATGTCAACGGGCTCTAGAGGAAAAGATATAGGGCCCTTGTCGCACAGGACTTCCCTGCCGCCATTTGGGTCAAGTTGGACCGCCAGCAGATTCAAAGGTTAGACGCGCAGCAAGTCATGTCCGCCCCAGCCCAGGAGAGGATGGATTTTGACTCCATTGACGAGACCCAGGTCATTGTGCACCATGCTTGCTGCTGTTGCTACGACGGCTGCGTGCCGGAGGTGAAACACATTGGATGTGCAGCCCAGAAAACCGTCCTTTAACTTGAGTGCGACCTTTGCTGCAAGACTGGAGCACCTTGCTTGTGCTGCGGATGCTGTGCATTCCGATGTGTCGATCTCACGACATGTTGCAAAGCACAGGGCCAGTTCTTCTGCTGTGTGGCAGGATCCGCACTTCCACCAGATGATGAGGTGCCGTGCATGGTCAACGTCTGCTTCCTGAACTGCTTCCCCCGGCTCGGTTGCTGCCTGAAGCTGGGCGACATGAAGCGCAAGGAAATGTGGCAGTCGGAATCCACGACCGCGGACTAGATGACTGCACCTTATGCCTTCTGATTCTGGGTCATGTCAATTTCCTGCATGGAATTATGCAGCCTTCTAAGCAAGGCAAATTTAGCAGCCATGGCAAGCCACAAGGCGATCAGAGATTTAGCCACCTTGTGGTTGCTCTTGCGATTGCATCAGCTCCGGCTCTGATACATCGGATGGGTGCGACGCAAAGACATGCGGAAACAAGGCGTGAGCGAGAGAGAGAGAGAGAGAGAGAGCTGTACTTGTGTCACTTGATATTGTTTGATCTAGATCATTTGTTATTGTTTTCCCCTGTAGTGATTGTGCAAACAAAGCATTTGTTTCAGGAGCATGAAAGGATGCGAGGGTTTGATATCACACAGCAACTGCTTCTGACGTTTTTAGGAATGTGCCTTGAACTTTTGTCAGTACAGCTTGGTCAGACTGCAAACGCCGGCTTCCCACTCTCAGGTTGTCAATTGCCGCCATTTGGGTCAAGTTGGACCGCCAGCAGATTCAAAGGTTAGACACGCAGCAAGTCTTCCATCTGTAGCAAGACATGTCCGCCCCAGCCCAGGAGAGGATGGATTTTGACTCCATTGACGAGACCCAGGTCATTGTGCACCATGCTTGCTGCTGTTGCTACGACGGCTGCGTGCCGGAGGTGAAACACATTGGATGTGCAGCCCAGAAAACCGTCCTTTGCCTTGAGTGCGACCTTTGCTGCAAGACTGGCGCACCTTGCTTGTGCTGCGGATGCTGTGCATTCCGATGTGTCGATCTCACGACATGTTGCAAAGCACAGGGCCAGTTCTTCTGCTGTGTGGCGGGATCCGCACTTCCACCAGATGATGAGGTGCCGTGCATGGTCAACGTCTGCTTCCTGAACTGCTTCCCCCGGCTCGGTTGCTGCCTGAAGCTGGGCGACATGAAGCGCAAGGAAATGTGGCAGTCGGAATCCACGACCGCGGACTAGATGACTGCACCTTCTATGCCTTCTGATTCTGGGGATTTTAATTAAGTTTCCTGCATGGTGTAGCCTTTGAAGCAAGGCAATTTTAGACACCTTGGCAAGCCACAAGGGTTTGAGAGCATATTACAGCAGCCTGGAAGCTTTTGCAGTTGCAGAAGCTCCGGCTCTTCTACATGAGATGGGTACGACAATAAGACATGCAGAGAAAGGCAATGAGAGAGAGAGAGAGAGGGGGAGAGAAGAGGCAGCAGAGAGAACAGAAAGAGCGAGAGAGAGAGAGAGAGCCGTATTTGACATTGATAGATCTTGATTCTTTGTGTTTTGTTCTCCCCCCCCCCCTCAGCAGTGATTGTGCGAACAAAGCATTGTTTTGAGGATCATTGAAGGGATGTGAGGGTTTGATATCACACAGCAACTGCTTCTGACGTTTTTTGGAATGTGCCTTGAACTTTTGTCAGTACAGCTTGGTCAGACTGCAAACGCCGGCTTCTCACTCTCAGGTTGTCAATTGCCGACATTTGGGTCAAGTTGGACCGCCAGCAGATTCAAAGGTTAGACGCGCAGCAAGTCTTCCATCTGTAGCAAGACATGTCCGCCCCAGCCCAGGAGAGGATGGATTTTGACTCCATTGACGAGACCCAGGTCATTGTGCACCATGCTTGCTGCTGTTGCTACGACGGCTGCGTGCCGGAGGTGAAACACATTGGATGTGCAGCCCAGAAAACCGTCCTTTGCCTTGAGTGCGACCTTTGCTGCAAGACTGGCGCACCTTGCTTGTGCTGCGGATGCTGTGCATTCCGATGTGTCGATCTCACGACATGTTGCAAAGCACAGGGCCAGTTCTTCTGCTGTGTGGCGGGATCCGCACTTCCACCAGATGATGAGGTGCCGTGCATGGTCAACGTCTGCTTCCTGAACTGTTTCCCCCGGCTCGGTTGCTGCCTGAAGCTGGGCGACATGAAGCGCAAGGAAATGTGGCAGTCGGAATCCACGACCGCGGACTAGATGACTGCACCTTCTATGCCTTCTGATTCTGGGGATTGTAATTAAGTTTCCTGCATGGAACTATGTAGCCTTTGAAGCAAGGCAATTTTAGACACCTTGGCAAGTCACAAGGGTTTGAGAGCATATTACAGCAGCCTGGAAGCTTTTGCAGTTGCATAAGCTCCGGCTCTTCTACATGAGATGGGTACGACAAGAAGACATGCAGACAAAAGGCAATGAGAGAGAGAGAGAGAGAGAGAGAGAGGGAGAGAAGAGGCAGCAGAGAGAACAGAAAGAGCGAGCGAGCGAGAGAGAGAGAGAGCGAGAGAGAGAGAGAGCCGTATTTGACATTGATAGATCTTGATTCTGTGTGTTTTCTTCTCCCCCCCCTCAGCAGTGATTGTGCGAACAAAGTATTGTTTTGAGGATCATTGAAGGGATGTGAGGCTTTGATATCACACAGCAACTGCTTCTGACGTTTTTTGGAATGTGCCGTTGTCAATTGCCGCCATTTGGGTCAAGTTGGACCGCCAGCAGATTCAAAGGTTAGACACGCAGCAAGTCTTCCATCTGTAGCAAGACATGTCCGCCCCAGCCCAGGAGAGGATGGATTTTGACTCCATTGACGAGACCCAGGTCATTGTGCACCATGCTTGCTGCTGTTGCTACGACGGCTGCGTGCCGGAGGTGAAACACATTGGATGTGCAGCCCAGAAAACCGTCCTTTGCCTTGAGTGCGACCTTTGCTGCAAGACTGGCGCACCTTGCTTGTGCTGCGGATGCTGTGCATTCCGATGTGTCGATCTCACGACATGTTGCAAAGCACAGGGCCAGTTCTTCTGCTGTGTGGCGGGATCCGCACTTCCACCAGATGATGAGGTGCCGTGCATGGTCAACGTCTGCTTCCTGAACTGCTTCCCCCGGCTCGGTTGCTGCCTGAAGCTGGGCGACATGAAGCGCAAGGAAATGTGGCAGTCGGAATCCACGACCGCGGACTAGATGACTGCACCTTCTATGCCTTCTGATTCGGGGATTCTAATTAAGTTTCCTGCATGGAACTATGTAGCCTTTGAAGCAAGGCAATTTTAGACACCTTGAGCTTAGTACAGCAGCCTAGTGGAAGCTTTTGCAGTTGCATAAGCTCCGGCTCTTGTACATGGTGCGACATGAAGACATGCAGAGAAAGGGCAAAGAGAGAGAGAGAGAGAGAGAGAGAGAGAGAGAGAGATAGAGGGGAGAGCAGAGAAAAGAGAAAGAGACAGAGAGAGAGAGAGAGAACCGTATTTGACATTGATAGATCTTGAGTCTTTGTGTTTTCTTCTCCCCCCCCCCTCAGCAGCGATTTTGCGAACAAAGCATTGTTTTGAGGATCATTGAAGGGATGTGAGGCTTTGATATCACACAGCAACTGCTTCTGACGTTTTTTGGAATGTGCCGTTGTCAATTGCCGCCATTTGGGTCAAGTTGGACCGCCAGCAGATTCAAAGGTTAGACACGCAGCAAGTCTTCCATCTGTAGCAAGACATGTCCGCCCCAGCCCAGGAGAGGATGGATTTTGACTCCATTGACGAGACCCAGGTCATTGTGCACCATGCTTGCTGCTGTTGCTACGACGGCTGCGTGCCGGAGGTGAAACACATTGGATGTGCAGCCCAGAAAACCGTCCTTTGCCTTGAGTGCGACCTTTGCTGCAAGACTGGCGCACCTTGCTTGTGCTGCGGATGCTGTGCATTCCGATGTGTCGATCTCACGACATGTTGCAAAGCACAGGGCCAGTTCTTCTGCTGTGTGGCGGGATCCGCACTTCCACCAGATGATGAGGTGCCGTGCATGGTCAACGTGTGTTTCCTGAACTGCTTCCCCCGGCTCGGTTGCTGCCTGAAGCTGGGCGACATGAAGCGCAAGGAAATGTGGCAGTCGGAATCCACGACCGCGGACTAGATGACTGCACCTTCTATGCCTTCTGGTTCGGGGATTCTAATTAAGTTTCCTGCATGGAACTATGTAGCCTTTGAAGCAAGGCAATTTTAGACACCTTGAGCTTAGTACAGCAGCCTAGTGGAAGCTTTTGCAGTTGCATAAGCTCCGGCTCGTGTACATGGTGCGACATGAAGACATGCAGAGAAAGGGCAATGAGAGAGAGAGAGAGAGAGAGAGAGAGAGGGAGAGAGAAGAGAGAGAAGAGGAAGAGACAGAGAGAGAGAGAGAGAGAGCCGTATTTGACATTGATAGGTCTTGATTCTTTGTGTATTCTTCTCCCCAGGTTTGAGGAGCATGAAGGGATGTGAGGGTTTGATATCACACAGCAACTGCTTCTGATTTTTTTGGAATGTGCCTTGAACTTTGGTCAGTACAGCTTGGTCAGACTGCAAACGCCGGCTTCTCACTCTCAGGTTGTCAATTGCCGACATTTGGGTCAAGTTGGACCGCCAGCAGATTCAAAGGTTAGACGCGCAGCAAGTCTTCCATCTGTAGCAAGACATGTCCGCCCCAGCCCAGGAGAGGATGGATTTTGACTCCATTGACGAGACCCAGGTCATTGTGCACCATGCTTGCTGCTGTTGCTACGACGGCTGCGTGCCGGAGGTGAAACACATTGGATGTGCAGCCCAGAAAACCGTCCTTTGCCTTGAGTGCGACCTTTGCTGCAAGACTGGTGCACCTTGCTTGTGCTGCGGATGCTGTGCGTTTCGATGTGTCGATCTCACGACATGTTGCAAAGCACAGGGCCAGTTCTTCTGCTGTGTGGCGGGATCCGCACTTCCACCAGATGATGAGGTGCCGTGCATGGTCAACGTCTGCTTCCTGAACTGTTTCCCCCGGCTCGGCTGCTGCCTGAAGCTGGGCGACATGAAGCGCAAGGAAATGTGGCAGTCGGAATCCACGACCGCGGACTAGATGACTGCACCTTCTATGCCTTCTGATTCTGGGGATTTTAATTAAGTTTCCTGCATGGAAGTATGTAGCCTTTGAAGCAAGGCAATTTTAGACACCTTGGCAAGCCACAAGGGTTTGAGAGCATATTACAGCAGCCTGGAAGCTTTTGCAGTTGCAGAAGCTCCGGCTCTTCTACATGAGATGGGTACGACAAGAAGACATGCAGAGAAAGGCAATGAGAGAGAGAGAGAGAGAGATAGAGAGAGAGAGAGGAAGAGAAGAGACAGCAGAGAGAACAGAAAGAGCGAGAGAGAGAGAGAGAGAGAGAGCCGTATTTGACATTGATAGATCTTGATTCTTTGTGTATTCTTCTCCCCAGGTTTGAGGAGCATGAAGGGATGTGAGGGTTTGATATCACACAGCAACTGCTTCTGATTTTTTTGGAATGTGCCTTGAACTTTGGTCAGTACAGCTTGGTCAGACTGCAAACGCCGGCTTCTCACTCTCAGGTTGTCAATTGCCGACATTTGGGTCAAGTTGGACCGCCAGCAGATTCAAAGGTTAGACGCGCAGCAAGTCTTCCATCTGTAGCAAGACATGTCCGCCCCAGCCCAGGAGAGGATGGATTTTGACTCCATTGACGAGACCCAGGTCATTGTGCACCATGCTTGCTGCTGTTGCTACGACGGCTGCGTGCCGGAGGTGAAACACATTGGATGTGCAGCCCAGAAAACCGTCCTTTGCCTTGAGTGCGACCTTTGCTGCAAGACTGGCGCACCTTGCTTGTGCTGCGGATGCTGTGCATTCCGATGTGTCGATCTCACGACATGTTGCAAAGCACAGGGCCAGTTCTTCTGCTGTGTGGCGGGATCCGCACTTCCACCAGATGATGAGGTGCCGTGCATGGTCAACGTGTGTTTCCTGAACTGCTTCCCCCGGCTCGGTTGCTGCCTGAAGCTGGGCGACATGAAGCGCAAGGAAATGTGGCAGTCGGAATCCACGACCGCGGACTAGATGACTGCACCTTCTATGCCTTCTGATTCTGGGGATTTTAATTAAGTTTTCTGCATGGAAGTATGTAGCCTTTGAAGCAAGGCAATTTTAGACACCTTGGCAAGCCACAAGGGTTTGAGAGCATATTACAGCAGCCTAGTGAAAGCTTTTGCAGTTGCATAAGCTCCGGCTCTTCTACATGAGATGGGTACGACAAGAAGACATGCAGAGAAAAGGCAGTGAGTGAGAGAGACAGAGAGAGGGGGAGAGAGAGCCATGTTTCACTTGGGACACTTCATTGATTTTGAATTGTTCCTTTTTTCCCGGCCATTGTGCAACAAGATCCTTCAGGAGCATTAAGGGACGTGTGGGTTTTCATAGACAGTCACTGCTGCGGGATTCGGTCTGAAGTTTTGCCAGTACATGTGTCTTTGATTGAGGGCACCCTTTAGGGTGGATTCCAAGGGAACCCAAACGGACTCCGTTGGCTCTTGCTTTTGTTTTTGTGGGGGCGGGGTTCTCTGATGTTGAGAGAAACCCACATGGCCGAAAGGTGATCTTTGACTTCTGATCGGTTTTCGTCATGAGCGCTTCTGTGCCAGAAACGTCAAACTCAACGTTTGCTCACGGCCGGTTGTGTTTTTTGTTTTGTTTTTTGTTTTGCCCAAACATCCCTTGGGTTGTTCATTAAAAAAAAAAAAGAACACAATGGGTTTTTGGTTGGGCTTAGACTTTTGCACATGTGGCCAACCTCTGCGCAGGGAAATGCGCCCAGCCGGGCACTCGGAAATTGGCTCCAATGCGTTTGGAGCGCTTTCCATTTGAGCAACTTTCAAAATGAGCGTGTCTTTTCTTAGGTTGGACCCCGCAAAATGGCGAAACAGTTTTCCATTTGGCGAACCGGTTTCCATTTGGTTTCCCTTTAAAGCCACAAAAAAGGTCCCCCAACAAAAGACACCCCCAAAATGTTCGGTCTAAAGTTGGTTTGGGGCAATGGTTATACATGAAGTTCGGTCAAAATATATGTGGCCTACGGCCCACTTGGAAGGCACATGACTCATGACTCACTCACTGTTCTTTCCCCTACTCTGAACCTAGCGATCTCTTTGTGTTAACTTTACTAACACCGAATGGTTGATGGTCCCCTAAATGATGGTCCACCAAAGGGTTCCCTATTGAAGGTTACACCCAACTTGACATTGAGGCCACTCAGCAAGTTGCCCTCACCAGGGCTCATGTGCTTTTGGGGGATTGATCTTCGGACAGATGGGTATGGGTCAAAATTACCATTTACCAGGATTCCCATAAAAGGTACCTATTTTTGACCCAAGCCAGATGATTCTTGGGGGGAGGCGAGGCTCTTGCGCTTTCTCGCGACAGTCTCGAGGCAATGCTTCCGTGCCGCCGCTGTCCTTGGCAGGGCGGCCCATCGGTCCGATCACGAGGGTCCTTGCCCCGAGTTTTTTGAGTTGGACATTTGGCCTGATGTCTCCATGACGCCGAAAAAACAGGGATCATGCCCCAGAATCACGGCTACATTACAATTTGTTCGAAGGGAACATGCTTTTGCAAGAGAAATGTAGCCTGCCAATTTCCCTCCCGTAGGGATCCGTGGAGAGGTTCTTAGAATCTTCAATGGAGTTCTGATGGAGGGCCCCCGTGGTTTCCCCGACTTCCCGGGTCAAAAGAAAGCACAGGGACCCCTAAACCTTTGTTTAACGTAGTTCAACCTACCCGACTAAACATGGGTTTTTGCAACCCAAACTTATGGTTGGTGACCTCATTTCCCGTGCAAACTCCCCACAAAGAACGAGAGCCTCAAAAAAAACAGGCCCAAAGCCCCAAATGGCTTGGTTCAGGGAATGAGTCGGACCCCCAACCATGGTGGCTTCCACATTTTGCTGGGTGGTTCTTTTTGTGTCCGGGCGCTTGCCTGGAGCCCCAGAGCCGCTTCAGGCGACGAACTTGGCGCCGCCATCGCAGGCGGCCTTGCAGGCGGGGGCCGTCGAGTTTTGTTGAGGCTCTTCCTTGACTGCTATTGGGTTGGATCTTTAGACTATCAACTTTGGGGTTTTCCACTAAACCCCCAAAAAGTTAAACTTTTGCGAGGGGGGTCAACAGCAACCAAGCTTCTATCATTAGCCTTTGGTGTTCAAGGGAAACCAAAAGGAGACCTCGGGTTTCCCTGAAAGGAAACGGATTCGGGGATGGCGTAGATGGTTTGTTGTTTGCTCCCTGTTTTTTAATGGGAATCAATTTCACTTTTTTTTTTTTTTTTTTTTTTTTTTTTTTCGGCGACTTAAGCAAACGGAGGTGTTGAGGCTCTTCTATCGGTAGCCTTTGGTTTTCAAGAGACAAACGCGGTTGCTGGTGCGGTAGGTAGGGAATGACGACGAGTCCGGGTGGTGGGAATGAACAGGTTTTGGGGATTCCCTCAAAGGAAACCAAATCGGGGATGGTTTATAGGGCTCATTCCCTCCTTCCCTGCCTATTGAACCAGCAAGAAAAGGACACACACAACACGTCCTTGGTGGCTTCCGCTTCCTATTTCGAGCCAGCCCCATGGTTCTTTAGGCCTTTGGAGGTTTAGAGTTGAGATAGTCCGCTAGCTTTGACTTTTAGGGGACCAAGGAATTGGTAGGTTTGCGAGAGAGTTGGTCCGACACATGAAGCCTGGCAAAATCTGTTTCTGAACTTCAACCTTTTTTCAGACTGTTGGGTAGCACCCTGGTGGGCTGCAACTATTCCCCAGCCCAAATGAGCCACAATCAAAACGTGGGTAGCTCCCAACCAGAAGTAGATGCGGCCGCCCTGTTTCATTCTTTGCATGGTTTTGAGTATACAGTATAGCCTTTCAATACGAGGTCTTGTGTTTGACTATATACACAATTCCTCGCACATAGAGAGGCAGTGTAGTGGACATGAGTTATGCACCTCGCCTGGGTATTGGGTGTGCACATTGTTGGGGCGAGTGCTTACGCAAACATGGACCTCCAATGGGCAGAGGGCGCCCTTGAGGCCTTACCAGGGCCTCAAGGTTGCCCTTCGACTCGAGTTGAGTCGAGCGCCTGACCCTGCTCGCCCATACTTACAACAGGTTCTCCATACTCACTGCTGCCGTAACTTGGTGGTTCCCAGTCATCCGGTTCCTTAGGTTTTCAGGTTTTTAGTTGGTTTCGTGGTAGTCTCCACTAAACCACCAAAAGTTTTCGACTTTTAGCAGGGGGATCTGAGGACAGCCCAGGTAATTCCAGACCGTTTTTGGATGGAAAGTAAACATGAACAGCGGCGCAACAACAAAAACACCGCATCATTTGTTTGTTTGCTTCGGGATTGGGGCACGTGTAGAGTACTTGTGAGGAACGAACGGCTCAAGGGCTTGCTTTGCCCTTTGGGTACCATTTGTTCACCTTGATGGTGTCTTTTTCGGATATTTGTTGGCATTCCTGGGGTTTTTGGTTCCTTCTTTGGGTTGTTGGTTCCGACTTCCTTGGCTTGCTTGTTGACTTTGTTTGGGTTCTTGGTTGGACCTCCACTGCTTTTGTGGACTTTCGGGTTATTTGTTCACTGACCAAGGGTTGTTGACTTTGCTGGGGAAAGCTTTTGGCCTTCTGGTTTGGGTTTGATTCTTTTTTGTCCGTCCACGCCAGCCGCCGAGCTTCCCGCAAGGCAGCGGGAGAGAGGTCTTACCCAGTGAGTGGGCTCATCATTTTTCCTGTTTGGGGGGGTTATCAAGGTCAAAAACCGGGGGTTGTATCAATCTACCCCTTAGAGGGTGACTTGATGGTGGTAAAATCAGGGGCCCTGTTGGAATGTCCACTTCGGATGACTCCAGGCGCAAAATTGCCAAAATCGCAACCCGAGGCTTGGGCTTCAATTTGTATAAGGATTCCCCACCTTTCATCCTGTCATCGTTGTTCAGTGGCTCCCTTTTCCCTTTTTTTTGGTGGCTGCCCCACTAAAATGGTCTTCCCAAAAAGGGGTTCCCTTTTTTTCCAGGGTCACTGAACAACTGAGCTGTGGTTCCCAGAGTTCGCTGGGACTCACCTTTGTTCAACAGCTTAGAGGAAAGAAGTCATGTGAACCGTGGCGCATGTGGCATGATCTAGACATCTGCAGGGTGAAATGCGGCAAGGACGTTCTTGAGTTTGAAGACATCGGCCACAGATTCGGGAAATTCATCAGCAGGTTTCACCAGGCTGAGGCTAGGCCCACGCAAGACATGGTTGACCCTCCATTTAGGGTCTGGAATTTATGTGCTGAATCTTTGAATACGTCTCAAATGCGGTTAGCAGTTTCAGGTTTGCCGCGTTGGGAGGAGACCCAGTGTCCCATCTTCGGTCAGCTTGGTTGAAAATCGATGCAGTCCGCTGGCTTCAAATTGAGCGTTTTTTTTTAGCCGCGCCGCAAGCTAATTTAGTGGGGGGAGGGACATGATTATTGAAAATGTGCGCCGCGCCACACGCGCGGAAGCATGCGGAAGGCTCGCGGAAGGGAAGGTTTGCGGAAGCTTTGTGGCTGATATATATGCAACTAAATGTTTCAGTGCGTGCATGGCAAAGCTCGGAGAAACGATTCCAGTAGAAGAAAAGGTGTTGCTGCGTACAAGAAACGCAACGCTTGCTCGAAGAGCAGATGCCAACAGCAAGCCAAGAAGGCCGAAACAGCCGGCGTATTTCGCGGAGGGTTTGCAGAAGCTTCGCGGAAGCTCCGCGGAAGGGTGGCCCCGTGTTTGCAGGCAAGTGGCCACGTAGCATGGTAGCAATGGAGCCCAAGCCTACACAAGCTGCGGCGGAACACTACCTCACTTGAAATGACTTTCCTTTCTGCGCCAATGCTCGCGGAAGCAAATCTTGCAAACCATGCCCCGCGGAAGGTTTGCGGAAGCAAAAATGCAACACATGTGCCGCGGAAGTTCGCGGAAGGGACCTCTTGGCCCGTGGCAAGAATGCAGAAGGGCCCGCGGAAGCTTGAATAATGTCCAAGCATTTGTTTTCGGGAATAACAACCAACACTCAGTTGATTTAAATACCTTGTAGTGCCATCTATGTTTGTGTAAACAATGATGTTACTTCTCCGATGACACCTGGATGTCTCGCCTCTGTTTTGCTGAACTGTTTTTGCCTGGCTTTCTCCTTGTCGAGTGGCTTCATTATCAACAGTTGGCCAGTGCAAGCTGCCTTGCTTTGCGGGGAAGGGTCAAGCTGCTAAAACCCAGACATAACATCTTTCAGACTGCGTGTGCCTTAAAAAAAGACACATAGATCTCGAGTGAATTGGCAGCACCTAGTTTGCCCGGTACAATTTCACAAACTAGGCTTGGATCAATGCCTGGTTGACACATGCTTAAATCAGTATCGTTCAACCGGTACAGTTTCCATTGTTCCCTTTGATTTTCCAGAGGAGGACCAAACCGAAAGGGTCCCACTATCATTGCCGGAACCCCAGCCGGAAGCTGAGGTGCGGGCTCTGACTGGTCTTTGGTGGATCCCGTGCGACTGGGGAACTTACATGAAGAGCCAAGAGGGTTACCCTCTCCCCTCTTCAAGCTCACAGGTTCCTTCTGAGCACATGGTCTTCGGGCTTGTCATTCCATGTACGCTGGTTTGGTGTCTCTCCTTCTTGCGGCGCAAGCCTTCAAAGGGCTAAACCTTAGACATATGGCCAGACATCTATGAATCCGGCGCCCATGTCCACTGTAGTTCGCCTAAAGGAGGTGCTTGCCAAACCCTGGTGGTTTTTCAGGGCTGTGATTTGATAGTTCTGGTTCTGGCAAGCTTTGCAGGCAGTTGTAGATGGGCGAGCCTTTCTTTTTTGAGGGTACCCCCTTTTTGGTGGGTTGTAGTTCAGGGAAACCAAAAGGACACCTCCCATTTTAAGGGGTCCAACCTGACAGAAGACACACCCAGATTGTTCCGATGGTTTCAAACTGATTTGGATTTTTTCTCCGGCAGCTCCGGCGGGCTTTTGCATGCCAGGGTTCCCTTTCGTTGTGGCTCGGTTCGGGAAAACCTGAAACGCAAGCTCCAACTTGCAGGCCTCTGGCCTCAATTCTGGGCCCAAGGCGGGGAAGAGTCGAAACCGATTCGAACGAAAGGCACGGGAGTTGTCAAAGTTCGAGGCCGTTTTCTCACTTCTGAGTTTCCCAAGTCAAAAGTTGCTCGATTGTCTGGTGGCTTCCACTGAACCGATCGCTCTTGGAGGTTAGCAGGGAAGTAGAGGGAGCCCGGTCCTGCACTTTGAAGAACATTCTGGACGGTAAATCAAAAGTTCCTGGACGTTTTTGGGGCCAGTCCACTCAAGAAGGGAATTGTTGGTAGCCCCTTTACTAAATAATTTACCGGGCGGCGCAAAAAGGGGCCACACGTTTGACAACTCCCCCAGTTGTTTGACCCTGGCCATCCTTGTTTTCTAGGCAAGGCCCTTTTTTACTCGCACAGCTTTAAAACTAGTTGTGCTTTCATTTCCGGGTGTTTTCCTCGCCCTTTGGCCTTCTTGTCCTTTCGGGGGGTTCCTTTGTTTTCCCTTGGAGCCAACAAGAAGCGCCCATGATTTGTGGCGGGGTCTTAGGCTCTTAGGCTGGCCAATGTTTCAATGGCCAGAAAAAAAGGCCGCAAGTAGTTCTCTGTTGCTGAGTGGCGTCCTTTTTGCCTAAGGGTTCCCCTGACTCAACTAACCCAAAAAGGATGTCTTTTTTTCCCATGGCCACTGGGAATCTGAGAGTTGGGCTAGCCATTTGCCAAGGAGTAGAAACCACAAGAAAAGCGAACCTCCGGACCATAGAAGGCGCTAGTACGGCTCGGCTTGCGGCTTGTTTGGAGCAACCTTTTGCGGCCTCTCCCCTTGGGGCGTCCCGTAGGGGGGCTTGAGTTACCATGAGTAAGAGCACTGCTAGGATTCTCAGATTGGCTGAGGAGTTTGCTAGTCATCGTATGGGTGTTCTTTTTTTCACTGGGGACCCTTAGGTGGACATCATTTAGGGGGAATTCATATCCACCACTTGTGAGGTGGTTCCCTATTAGAAGTCATGTTAGTTCACTTGCTTCGCATTGGTTGCTGTCCATACGCAATTGAAGCCTGGCATCTGCGTGCTTCCGGGCTCTCGCCCTGCTGAAACGGGAGCTGCCTCCCAAGTGGGTGGTGAGCTGCGACCAGCCCGGGGGATCATTCCTTGGGACTTGGGAACATACTGAGGGACGAAATCCATTTCGCACCACGAAATGAAACCATGGTTAAGTTGGCATTTACAACGGGAATCCTCATTCCAGGGAATCTTCGGCGCAGGATTTCGTCCATCCACAGCATTGCAAACCGACGCCATCGACGAAAAGTCGGCCATGCCGACAGTGATCCAGCCTACCCAAGCCACAGGTTCACAAGCGTCAGAAATGTGCGCCAAAAGGCTGGCGAAATTGCTACCAGCATCATGAAGTTGCAGTATGAAAGTCGTGCGCGAGCTGCCGTTCATAAGGCCGGACGACTGCCAAAGCGCAGAGAAGCAAAGCGAAGGCTACCGGCACCGTTGAACACCAGGCTCGGGAATCCTTTCAGAAGGCCATCATGAGCACTGGCAACTGTGGACTGCTGCGTTGCAAGACACCCAAAGTGAGCGATGTGAAGAGGTAGCAAACAACCACTGAAATGTGCATAGTATATGAGTGGCGTTTGTGTGTTTGTGTTTTTGTTTGTTTGTTTGCTTGCTTGCTTTCTTGTTTGTTCTTGTGTCTGGGTGTGTCTCTCTGTCCGTGTGCGTCTGCACCTGTGCGCGCGTGCTAGTGCGTGAGCACTTTTTTAAGTTTACAGAAGCCCCAAGCCCATCTTTGGGGGCCCTTAGTTTGAAGGGCCCAAATTCCCGCGACTTCCGCCAGGCCAGATGCCGGCGCAGGGGCCTCAAGGAGCGGAGAAGGCGTGAATGTCCCAAAGGTGTCTCTGCTTCGCCCAGTGGATCCCCAGGTACCACTAGGGAGCCAGCAATTTGTCTACTGGTTTCCTTGGTTAATTATGATACAGGGCAATGGAATTTGTGGGAAGGGGTGTGTGCGGATTTTCATTTTCCTGATCCAGACTCGCAAGAGCCAGGGGAGGGACTTGAAGGATGTGCTCTGGCCTTGTGGCCCCTAATAGCCGCTAGACACTCATGCCGAATGCTAGGTACGAGCTTATGGCCCTTGATGATACTTGGCCCACGAAGAGCAACTAATTAGCATCAGCACTTTGTCGTACTGCGCTACATTGTGCTACTAGTACCGTCAAGCTTGGTGGAGCCCTGTCGACGGCTCACTTTTAGTAGCCAAAAATGAGGCCCAGTCTGAAACCAATCTGAAATCGGTTAATTGGGACACCTGGGGGAGGGTCTCCATCCGGCCATTTGTTGCGCTTCAGCCATAGTGGTCCCAAATTGGAAGCCCCTTGTGCAGTGGTTGGCCACAGTTGGCTTTTAGTAGAGATTGAGGCTGCAAGTGGCATCTTGAGACGAAGGGTCGGTTTGGGTGCATCTTGCTTCCCTCCATGCTGGTTGGCCGGCCATGCAGGTTGGCATTCCAGCTTGCAAGGAAGAAAGCAAGTTGCACCGCAATAGTTGCATGTCACCTCAGGATGTGCCATTCGCAGCCTCAATCCCAACCAAAAGCTGACTGTGGCCAACCGGCATACAGGAGTGGCAGAAGCTGAGATAATGGGCTTTCGCTTTGGGACTGCCGTGGTGCATTCAAAGAACAAGCACCGGAGATGGCGGGATGAATCCTGCTACCCCCGTGTTCAGACTGGATTCAGACCTCTTTCCTGACCTCTACGTTTTTGTGAATGAGCTGAATTAGCTGCTGATCTTCCTGTGCATGGTGAAGCTAGTGGCCTCAATTGCAAAGATGCAATTGGTTCGTAGAAGTAGCCCATGGTTCCACGCAAGTAGGGTCGGGAGATCCCCTTGCAGGCCAGGCAAAAGTCTCGTTTCTTGTTTCACTGAGCGGGCGTTCCAGGGTCGCTGGTTGCAACGTTTTGGTCGGGCCCTCTGATTCTTGCCCCGTCCAAGGTCGGATGAGCCGAATGCCGCCTGGCAGGCAGCCGAGCGCGAGAGGGGACAGATTGACATGGGTATGGGTCAAAATTAGGTACCCAAAATAGAACCCTGGTAAATGGAATCTGCGGTCTCCTGGTGGTTTAATTTTGACTCATACCCACATGGAACAGGGAACGCCCAAAACCCATCCATTTGTAGACTAATCTCCTTCATTGGAACCGCTTTTTTGTGTTCCTTGCTAATTAGTAGAAAGGTTCAGAGGAAAGCCAACCACATGGGATTCTACAGGAAACCATGGGAATACAAGGAACTCCGAATCCAATGTCAGATGGGGACTCCGGCTCTGATCCATTCAAAACCCTCGCCAGGAAAGAATCTCCCCTGCGATTAATTTGACAAACCCCGGCAAAAGCCACCCATTTGTACTGGAATCTCCTTTTGGTGGGTGCTTTTTGTGGTTCCACACGAATTTGCAGGAAAGATGCCCACACGGGATAGACTTGTCGGCAGCGCAAGAAAGGTAACGGCCTGGAAGGCCGGGTTATGGACCTCAGCTGAATATTGACGTTGGCTACGCGTTGGCTATCACTTTCGACTGGCAAGATTGATCCATTCAACCTGCCACCTGCCCAACATGGGCGCTGTGATTCCAAGTCCGTTGACAGATCCACTCTATGAGCCTTGAAGGGGGGGGCTGTACAGCGGAGGTACTCATATCGCTAGATAAGCCAAGATGGCGTTTCTCCTGGCAAAAAGCGGATCACTTTTGGCGAGGTCGATGGTCCTCAAGAATATCCGCCTGAGCCTTCCCTGAGCCTACCTCCAGCCTGCCCCAAAAGCTTGCCGCCACTGACAATCCAGCCCAGTAGCAACGTTCTCCCAGGAAAAAAGGGGGCCACTAGTCCGGGGGATAGCGTTGGCTTGCGTCCTCGCCAGGCCTTGTTCAACTTCAACGACGTGTGGTCCTTGGTGCGAGTGGTGTGGTCAAAATGTCGCTATGCCAATGTGAAAGTAGGGGGGGAAGCAGGTTGATGGGAGTAAACTGTTAATTGGCCAGGCAACAGTAATATGCGAGTTTCCCTCTTGCTTTTGTGACTGCTTGGGCTAAGTGGGGGATCAAGCAGATGAGTTGTCTGACTTGCAGACCAGCAGCAGCGGCTATGTCGACTGCTTGGAGTCGAGCGCTATGCAGAAAGATGGCCCCACATCGGCCGGTCGGAGGCAGGCATGACGAAGCTCCGGGCATCTGCGGTGGAGCATCCTTTCCTCGCTGGCGAGTTCCTGCTCCTGCACAAGCGGAGTTTTGTCAGGTAAAGCGAATGATTAGAGGAATCGGGGATCCGCCAGAGTCTTTCTCAAAGATCACAGGTTCATGATGGATTCCTCCCAACATGGCCCCTCTATTTCCTTTAGGGACACCCTGTCAGCTGCCCTGGCAACTCAAGGGCGGTCATGGGTCATTAAAGGTCATTCATTACCCATAAATCCTCCAACGGGCCTGAAGCCTTAGGATTACCAAGGCTTGGCACCTAACAAGCCACCCTGATGATGTCAGAGTCTGGGAGGTGCCCGCAACCAAACCCGTGGGCTGAGATACCGTTTTAACTCATAATTGAAATCTCCATGCTAAACAAGAACTCAACAAAGCGGCTCATGCCAAGTCGAACCCCTTGTTATCCAACGAAAAGCAAACAAACATGTGGGTGTGTCGGGTTTTTGAGGGACTATAGACATTTGGGGCTCTCCTAAAAAGAGACACACCCCTGCAGCGCGGCTTCAGCCGACCGTGGGCTGATGGCCTCGCGGCCTAGCATCCAATCCCAAGATCCTGGACGGGTCCCTGCATTTCCCCTTCCGGAACTGGACAGTTGAACCGTTTTTCTTGGAACCCAGCGAACGAAGCGCTCTGAGCCTTGCAGTCCAAATATGATGCAAAGATTTGAAAAGGGAAACCATGTTTTGAGGTCCCCGACTTCCGCCGTATTCACCCTATTACCCAAGGCCCCTTTTGGTGTGATCGAAATCCTCAAATAAGAAGAGGCTGCCCGGGCAAAGAACTTCTCACGAGGGTTCGCTTCGTTTACCAGGACCCTGTTCGGAAGATCCAAATGAGCAAGGGCTATGTACCTGTACCATTGCTACCAGTAACTTAAACGCAAGTCCTCACCATGGGCAAAAACGATCCACAAATCACTGGCCAGGGCGTGACGAGGCAGCGAGATCACAAACGCCAGCAACCTTCACCTTACCAGGTTCGACTTGCATCCCTCGATTAGTCGGCAGAGCGATCGTGTGAAAGGGACAGTGCCAACCGTATACACACTTTGTTCTAAGATATTCTTTGAATTGGTAGACGGTAGACCCCTTTAGGAAGTGGCTTTCAGCTTGCACAAAAGCACGCCTTTTATTCCACACCCTCCATCAGACACCCGGTACTCATAGTCGAAGTCCAACACAAGACAATTGAAAGTAGACTTCCAAAAGGTGACCAGTGCAACCTCAGTATCATCCGCGAGCGTGATTTTTGTCCTGCTCTTTGGGTTTCGACAGGAGGCAATGTATTGCGCAAACCCAACAAATAACTTCCATGCTATGGAATGACACGCTTCCGACCGTGATTAAGCAAGGGGGCGGAAAACGTGGCTATGATCCATCCCAATGCCACAATATGCTTCCCCTCAAGCATCACATCAAATTGACAACCTACATCGCTCGAACTCAGGGGCAGCGAACCGGCTTTCCCGTACCAGGCCCGAGGGGCCGCCGGGGGCCGCCGGGGGGGGGGTTGAGCTTGAGGTCCAAAAGTTGCACCAGGCGAATGTTGCGGATGGATTTGGCGCTTGGGACTAGCTGAAACTCTGCAATGGGACAAGCTACCAATCCCAAGTGGAGCAAAGTGGATATTGTCCATCCACAGCAAGATTGCCAGATTTCGCTATCTGTGAAAAACCTTTGACCCTTTTGGCGTTCCTTCCATTTTCCCTGTCAGCAGTAAACAGGACTTTGGGCAGATCTATGTCTGGCCCAGTTAACTTCGGATTGACTCCCCAGTCTTTCAACCATGGTTCTTTGCAACAACCGGCTGTTTTCCCTGGGGGGTTTTGAGGGTTTCCTGAAAAGAAGGATCCTGAGAAGAATGGGGAAGCTTCCCCTCAAAACCCAGCTGAAGGAGGGCTTTTCCGAGCCTCAAGCGACGCTACTGTGTCGTTTCACCTGTTGGACTTGTCACTTTTTTGCTCTCACCGTGAAAACGCACGGACGAGAAAGTGGAACCAAGCAAACTTGAATTTTCTTCTGACCGCGCAAACCGCGGTGATCTTACTCTAGAAGCTCCGTCCTCCAAGAAAACAATACGTGCTAAACAATCGCCACAATATTAACCAGGCTCCCGCCTGCTGCCGCCGACCCTCGGCGCATTAAGGGAAAAGTCACAAGGACCGGTCCTGAAACACGTCCGCAAACCCAGGGACCACTTATAAGATCCTCTACGACCACAAACAAGGATTAACGGAAAAGTCAGAAATAGGGCAGCTAGTCCGTTAATTACCGCTTGGGCCGGCTTGCGCCCAAGTCACTTCGAGTTGGCCCGGGAGCAGTCGCCTCTCCCGGGGTCGCCCTGAAACTGGCCCTCCCGAAGTTGCCCTGGACCGGTCGCCGGCAGCAGGCTGGTCCCAGTCTGCAGAATAGATCCAGGGATCCTCTACTACCACAAGGACGTCAATAACCGCACGGGCCGGTTTGGTCGCAGGGAGTGACGACCTGGGACCCTGTCCAGTGTCCTGGGTGCCAGTCCGGAAAGGTGTCTGGAGCGGTTTGAGGTGGCAGCACAGCAGTTTGAATTGCGACCCAATACCAGCGGTCACACCGGTCCCAGGACTGGTCCTGGGACCGGTCCCAGGACCAGTCCCAGGACCGGTCCTAGGACCAAACCGCCGATCCTGGGACTGGTCCTGGGACCAGTCCTAGGACCGGTCCCAGGACTGGTCCCAGCACTGGTCCTGGGACCAGTCCCAGGACCAAACCCCGGTCCTGGGACTGGTCCCAGGACCGGTCCCACCGGTCCTGGGACCGGTCCCGGGACCGGTCCCAGGACCGGTTTTGGCTGACTACAAGTAATCTGAAACAGCAGACCCAGGACCAGTCCCAGGACCGGTCCCAGGACTGGTCCCAGGACTGGTCCCAGGACCGGTCCCGAGACCGGTCCTGGGAATCCACTTTTTGTGGGTTCGGGCGTGTCCCCCAGGAACTATCATTGATTCCAATCACTTCCAGTTGCATCCCACGCCGGTCCCCTCTGCAGGAGGCTGGGACGGGAGGCAGAGGGTCGGCGGATTTAGTCCCCCCCTCCAAGGAAAAAAGAAAAGGCACAAAACAAGGGGAGCCAACTGCAAGATCATGTTTTCTCATTTTGTGGCCTGAACTCCGGGCAGAAGCTTATGTGCAAATCCCAGCCTGAGCATGAGCAGTGCCCGTTCCCCATCAACCGTTTGCGCCAGAAGTCAGTTTGTGTGTCGGAGGTCGGGCATTGGCTTGAACAGACCCGGGGATCCTTGAAGGGGGAAGAAAAAGGAGGTGGTTGAAAAAGATGGCTTGGTTTAAACGTCTTAATGAAAAACACAGGGGTGTTCCATCCAACAAAAGACACACAGGTGATTGCCCCAAGATACGGGGTGACTTCTCTGTTTTTATCGGTAGTTTGAGGCTCCAGGTGAGTCAGCCCCTGTTTTCCTCCGGCTCTGGATCCCGATGATGCCGAACACATCGGCCGCAGGAGCCCCTCCGCAACGCCATGGGGACAGCGCCTCGCCTCGCCACGGATCTGTGTCTACCCCCCAACACCTCCCCCCATGCCATGGACAGGTAGACTCCTCAAACGACTGGAGTTTCCTTTTGGTTTCCCTCTATAACCAATAACAAAAATCCACCATTGTTGAGAAACCCCCATATGTTGCGGCCAGGGAACCTTACAACATCAATACCCTATATAGACACGAAGTGTCCATCAACGGGACCCGCCCTCCCAGTTGGCGGTTTTCATGTGGCTTTTCCCTACAAAACACAAACAAAGGTGACCTCAAACACTGACACACCCTGCTTCTCAGGACTCAATCTCTTGAAATTTGGGAATGCACCGGGCACCGGACATGTAGGGGATCCACATAAACGACACCAGCAGGTGGATACTTGGTGGTTCCCAGCCATCCGATTTCGCAGGTTTTGAGCTTTCTAGTTGGTTTCGTAGTAGTTTCCACCAAACCACTAAAGTGCTCGAATCTTAGCAGGGGATCTCGGAACAGCCCAGCTTCGAGTTCCCGGTTTGTAAGGGAAGCCTTTGGCCGCCAAGCCTGCTAGCGTGCTGGCAGGCGGCCATGAAGGTTTCTTTCATGGGGATGCGATATGTTGGGACACGTCTATCATCCCGCCCAAAGCATCACCTGACCTTAGGGGTCGTCAAGCCTTGGACCTCAAGGCCTCAGGGGGGGGGTGAGGTAGTTACATCTTTGGGTCCGGGCCGATGAACTGAGCGCCGCGCGATGTGTTTTTTTTGGGGAAAAGCCCTCCTCCTCCGTTGTCACATGGGGCCCTGTTTTCCCTTTTTGGGGAAGAGTTCAACTTCAAACTCAGCCAACCGAGCAAGGATGTCCTGTGTTTTCCCATGGCCACCGGGCATCTGAGCCTCTCTCTGGCTCGCTGATTTGTCCAAGTCCCGTGAGCTCAGCTCCAGCACGCCCACGAGGTGCAACAACTTCCGCGGCTGTGCCCGGGAGCTCAGGTGGGCGAAAGCGGAGCAAAGCGGGTGAGAGGCGTGGGCTCCAATTCATGTATTTCTCCGCATTTTTTTTGTTTTTTTAAGCGTCTATCTACGTTCTCTAAATGATGATGGTTTCCATGGTGTGTTTGTCACTTTTCGGGTGTGCTGCAAAAGTAGTTGGACCCCCACAACTGCAACAGGTTCCTTTTATTTCCTCGCTAACACGGTTCATGCCCATTTTGGGGGTTGTCAGGATTCGGGCTCCCTTTGGTATGACCTTTACAAACGGCCCTTGTCCAAAAGGAGGCGATGTGTTTGACAACACCCCCATCTGCAAACTAAGCTGTTTTCTGCGGGCAACAAAGTTGAAGTTAAGCGGCATTCATCATGCTGTGGATGGGCGAATTCCATTTAGCACCACTTTGAAACCATGGTTGAAACCATCGTTTGGTGGTATTTGCAGGGGAATCATCATTCCAGGGTTTCTTAGTTGGCGCGAAATGGATTTCGCACATCCACAGTATGATTCAGAGCCTAGGGCAGCTGGGTGGACACAATCCGGCACCGGGTTGGATGGATGCAACCCTCTGCAAAAAATGGGATAAACCACCTGCCAGCTCATGCAATGCAGGAGTTAGTGCATCCACAGGAGCAGCCTAATACGAAGCACTCATTGACTGTACTTTAAAAGTGACACCAACATGAGATGGATATGCTTAACTTTTTCCGGACCTCCTATGTACCACTCAATAGCCCACGTATGCGCTTATGTCCAAGGGGTACCTAACGTCGGAGGTGTTCCGAGTGGGCTTTCTTTAAATCAGCCAAATCTCAACAAGCGCAACCCCATATAATATAGTACTTGTGTCTAGTACTTGGGTGTCAGTCTTCAGTCTAGCTGGTTAGGTGTAGCTTACCCAGAACTGGGTTGCAGCCGGTCCTGGTGATGCGATGCTTGGTCCCCCATGGAGACCTCAAAAGCATGACGCGTGTGATGTGGGCATTGGGTCCCACACATTAAGCCCTAGGGCCGCTAGGGTAGGCAACTCGCCCGTCGACCGGGCTCAACACTCAAGCTTCTTCCCCAAAGGCAGTGCAGTTTGTGTTGGCAAGTTATTTGAACAGTTGCCTCCTGAAGAAGATACGACTTGTTCCGCCTTCGGATCAAACTGTTGCAGTGGTGTCATGTCTAAAGTCTTCACTTATCATGGGGTGAATCATCAAATGTCAACTTTGGATTCGCAACCTTTTCAGATGAATCTCCGCACGGGGTGGTGTTACTCTTGGGTGGGGAATCACGATTGTAGACGAGCCCCTTTGAGGCATTGCTGTCGTTCTTGTCAAAATCCAAAGTGAGTTAATCTAATTATCTAGTGACCAGTCACTCACCGGGCATGGGGGCTAGGCCATCCGGCTCACATGTTGCAGCTGGACCAAACTGTTCAAACATGTTTCAGCTACCTTGTGGTTTCCCTCAGCGGGGCCACGTTCACATGTGTTTGTTTCGAACGACGGCCGCATCTTAGCCAACCCTGGGTTTGGAGTGGCGTGCCGGGGGGACTTCCTGGGACACGTTGAAGAGGAGAAAGGTCGATTCAAGCTGGGTCCTCTTGAACAAGTCTCTTCTATTTCAACGAATCAATCTGGGGGTCTCCTCAAAACATATCTTCTATTTTGAGGCCATGTGAGCCGGAATCAAGCTTTCTTGTGTTGAGTGTATACCCCAGAACTGGGCCAAACACCCATCCAGTGCCCATGGCTTGTGTACCGCGTTGGGTTCCAACGACCCATCCACCGCACACTTTGGTCGCCTGCGCCTCGCCATGCCGCGGTTCCTTGCGGCGCTTCTGCTGGCCGGTGCCGCGGTCTGCTTCCGCGGCCTTAGCTGGAACTTCAGCACAGCGGAGGCGGGGTGCCGAAGGGTACTTACAAGGGCAGCGAATAGTATATATATACGTATACATGTGTAGGTGTATATATATATAAGGATATTGTCATGCTGTGGATGGACGAGATCCCTGGAATGACACGATTGCCCTGTAAAATGCCAACAGTCGCATGGTTTTAGGTGCGAAATGGATATCGCCCATCGACAGCAGGATTTAACCCTACCCTCATGCAACCCCCCTATACCCCGTGTTTCCCCCGATTCCCAAATCAGACACCATGCGACGGCCTTGGCGCCAAAAAAGTGGAGAACACTATGCGAGGGTGTTGAATCCTATCATCATGTTGCTCCTGGATTACCCTCTTTCCAACCATGGTGGTTGCCCAGAAGGAAAGTAGTCTTCCAAAGCGCGTGTTCTCCCAAACACTGAGGGGTCCCTCCTAAATGGGCCCACTACCAATCAACCGAACCGGTTTATAAATCCGATAAATCCGGAGTTCCTGAGTCAGGAAAAGGACTTGCGCCTTGACCAAAGTACTTTCTCAGGCAACCCCTGCCGGGGGGTTTGGGGATTCGGAATGAACATTTATGGATTCCTTTGCAGAAGCCGCACAGGGGTTCGATCGGGGGTCCGATGACTCCCTTGTGGAGAACCAGCAAGAAAAGCTTGGCCCTCTGCACAATTTGTCATCCGAAAGGTCTAAAAGGTTACGAATTTCTATTAGCAGGCATGCTGGGAGCCCCTTGCAAAGAAAACATGTTGCTTGCACCCCGTGAGGAAAACGGCGCTTTCTGGTTCTTGTCTTTTCGACGGAATAAAATGGGTTTCTGCGCTTTTCCTTTGCCGAGAACAAGCCAAATTTGCACTTCTCGGTCCACTGCCGAGTCAGCGAAGGCTTACTAAGGCTTTCCCCCTCTCAGGGTCAACCATGGTCAACCACTTGGGTGGTTTTTGGGGAGCAAGTACCCTTGGATTGGTTTTTTCGGGGAACCCAAGGAAGGAGTAGCCAATCATAGCCCATTCCTTGTTAGGGGTCCCCCAATTTTGACGCACGTACCCATCTCGCGACCGTCCACAGGCGGCGCATCCGTCGCAGCCCGAGTCACGGAAGGGCGGTGCCAGGAAGCGGCTGCGGCTGCGGGCGCAGCAGCGGAAGCCCAAGGTCACACACCCCCGGGTGATCACGAAGCAGATCACAAGTTCGAGATCTGCGGCGGAGGCGAGTGGGCAAGTGACCGCGTGTCCGGAAGATGTGTCTCTCGCTCTCTCTCTCTCTCTCTCTCTCTTTCTCTTTCCCTCGCTCTCTCCCTCTCTGTTTTTTGTTCTCTCTCTCTCTCTCTCTCTCTCTGACTCTTCGACCGTCTTCTTTGGATGTCGGTTTGGTTTGTTTTGCACTCTAAGGGTTACCAATTGGACCAGAATCAAGCATTGGGTTGCGGGGGCCTTCAGTCCCGGCTGCAGAGCGCGCACAAAGTCGCGGCTTGTCCGATTCAGAGTGACTTAGCCAAGAGTTGAACGCTTGAAGAAGCCTTGGTATTTGAACAAGGTTTCAGGGCCTGACTGGTGCCCCCTTCCCCTCAAAAAGACACACTGTAGTCCTCCAGCAGAATCAAGGGGAAAGCAAGCACTGGAGAACTTGGTGTGAGCCGGGAATCACTTACTGGCTACCGAATTTGCTCAATCCCCACGCCGCACTCGGTCCGACTCTCTAGCTGTAGCTCTTTGTTCGCACAATCGTTTGAGGTCCATTCAAGACGCGGGCTAGCAGCCATTTCTTGGGGGCTTTCCTATGTTCAGAGACAAACGTTCAGAAACATGGGCCCGGATTCTTGTCGCAGCTCATGCATTCTATACCCTTGGGCTATGCACCCTACGGTTCATGGGAACAACAAAACACATACCGGGAACTTCCAACTATCCATAACAAATGGGACATCACCAACTTCTTGTTTGCAGGACAACTTTCCATTTTTCGTTGGGTAGTTTGAGGGTCCAGGTACCAAGAATGGAACTCTGGTAAATGGAAAGTGGGAAAACATGACCCATACCCGATTCGCTTGACAATGGGTCTCTCAGGTCAGGTAAGCCTTAATTGGTGCTTTGGGATTGGTTTGGGGATTTGCACCCCTGGTTCTTGTAGAGGGCAAATGGGAACCCCTCCTTACATGAATCCAAACCACCCTCAAATCGAGGGAAGCTGATCAGGTGTAGACAATTGGTCCATTTGTCTGGGCAACTTCCCATTTTCAGTGGGGTAGTCTGAGGGTCCACTGACGTTCTCCGCTCAGGTGCTTGAGGCGGTGAGGAGCGAGCAAGCGAACCCTCGCCTGGACTTCATCGCGCTCTCCGCCGCCTGGGCGCGGATCGCGAAGCTGCCTAAAGCCCCGGAGGTGAGGTTTGGGGCGGAGCTTGGCGAGCTGGGAGGTGTTTTGGGGTCAGGATGGCCATCCCCGGGTCCCGAAAATGGAGGCAGGGGGAGGGGGGATTTATGCCTGGAGATCTCCGTTTATGCTCGCCCAGAAGGTAGGGGGGATAGTGCTGTTTTGTTGATTTCGTGTTGTTTGGCGTTGTGTTGTGTTTTGTTTGCATTGTTTCCATAGCCAGACGTTGGCTACCTTCAATGGGAGGGAGGCTGCTTCAGCCAGGGTGGTTTAATCATGCTTACACAAGGAGGAGGAGTCGTTTGTTTTTCTTGTCCTAGGGGGCTCTCTTGTCTACCCAAACCTACAGACAACGGAAGATGTCAAGCAGCTTGGTACTCGCCGCCCATCTTAACATGGTAGTGGTAATGGTAGCAGTTTCGAGAACGAGGCCACCAGGAAGAACCTCCGAAGGGACCAACATAGATTTTGGTCTGCCTGCAAGCATCCGCAAGACATGAGAGGGGCGCTCCATTTTGTGGCAACCGCACCAGCAGGAGAACCTTTTGTGCAAGCACGACCCCCCCAACCCCAAGGCACATGGGCACATGGCAAACACACGCTGGAAATGAGCAGGCATCAGGCTAGAAAAACCTCCACCTAACTGCTCAATGTAGGCTAGACTTAGTAGACATATGCCAGACACATGCTACAATGTTGGCAAAGAGCTCAACATGCAAAAAAAACAAAAACAAGCT